ACCCCTATATAGTCCATTTAAAAACCAGTGGTATTGTTCTAAATAACACTATAGTTGGCTTCTAGGGTACCTAGTATGCCACTATTTGGTATCAAAATAAAGAGGAGGAGTTCAACTTTCATTTGAATAACGAAAATAGCGATGTAGGTCAAAAATAGTTCCGATTTGAGCATGTTTACTACGCGTTTGCCCGTCATATCAGAATTGAGGAAGTGGTGACAAACGCGAGTTACAATAAATAGATGCTGATATCTCAAAAAGTAACCTGACTCCCTATAATTTGATGTAGATCAATCAAACCCCTATATGAACAGGTACATTTTGATATATAACACTTAGTGGGGGTTAGCGTTTTATAGTTGGTCACAAACGCCATATGTGCAGAGTGTTGTTATGAATTTTCGAATTTGGTGTTGGATTACAGTACTCATACCATAACGATTGTGCTCATATATTGTGTTCATTTATCTCCAGTACCCTTTCAGGGTCTTCCGGTCATGTTAGCCATGTTGTGCATGTGGAAATATCAGTGGAATATATAATTACGATTAAACCCTTATAAATGATGTTATGTTATGTATATATGAGTTATCAACGTAACAGCTGCCATCTTGGAAATCCCTTTTCGAGCAGAGCTCATATGTCCAAAAAAGGGCCGCCATTTTAAATTGGGCTGCCATATTGAAAGTTTCTTCTCAAGCAGAGGTCCTACACCCATAAGGCATGACCTATAAAATTTGAATGAAATCTGTCAACCAGTATTTGAGTTATTACCCGGACACAAGAATGGAGGGACAAACAGATGTACGGACAAACGGATGGACGGACAGTCAGCTTTTCTATATCCCCCTTGAACTTTGTTCGGTAAGATAAAGATCCACATATAAAATGGAAGCATCATGGGGAAATGTCACAGGATATTTTACAGCACATGAGGCATGTTCAACCAATCAAGTAATGACAAACATGAGTGTCACAATGAGATAACAGCTAACAGATAACTCCCAAGAGTAGAAAATCCCAATAAACAAGTGAATCAGACAACGCTCGCAGTAAATATCGTCCAACCTTTGTGTTTACACAGTCATATTTCAAAACTAAAGCAGTATTTTAAAAATCTAAAATGATACGATTGCGATTTAGAGTTTCTAGTTTTTGAATATCTACATTCGAAATATATTCATATATAAATGAAAAAGTTGGTCCCAAGTAAAAATATGACTATAAAAAATCAAATGTCAATGTCAAATTGCGCGGACATATAAGTACAGCCATGCACGCTCTCCAAATGAATGACTCAAGCTATTATCCATTGATGGTAGTGGTTACATTATTGTTAACAGGATAAACTGCATCTGGAGGCATCAGTTCATAGAGTGCAATCGTGAGCGCTCGGAGCGGTGATCAAAATTTCGTCACTTTTTGATCACTGTGCATAAGATGGATTACTAAATAGCAGCACATGTTGCCAACTTGGTAGGGTCAGATTACTTTCCACAATATAGATACAACTGGCAAAAAATCACTTAATTTCTTGATTTAACAAGTATTTCCATTTGGATTAAGGTACAGCTGGAAAATAACATTTTGGTAAAAAATTGCTATACCTTGCACATGTTATTTTCTGGTACAAAATAAAGTATGAAGGCATGCGATAATTTCCTTGCTTTTTCAGGAAAGTATCATTACATTGTCTTCTTTTAGAATATCTGGTAAGAGTTCAATGGGAACTCCAGGGAATTCTGATATTTCACACTTTCTATTTTTCTGAATTTTCTTTCAAAGTTTCCAGACAACAAAGGAGCTACCATTGACCTGTTTCCAGTTTTACTAAAAGTAGATAATGTAATGATACTTTCCTGAAAAAAGCAAGGAAATAAAAACATGCCTTCATACTTAATTTTGTACCAGAAAGTAACATTTGCAGGTATAGCAATTTTTACCAAAATGTTACTTTCCAGCTGAACCTTAATGTAAAACTATGTTGGCATGTGACTATATAATTTTGTTGTAATGCAAATTGTGATTAAAATAAACAAGGCACAGGACGTGAACGAGATCACACCATCAAATAGGCAGACACTATGAACCAGAAAAACTGTTCTCCTATTATGTTTACGGAAATCCGATGAGCGGTTTTCCTGAAACGGTGATGACAAGATTTTTCAAAAACCTTCAAAATGGCCACCAGAAAACAAGATGGCCGCCCAAAAGTTAATCAGCTCTAGTACTTGATATCCTCTATCATTTGTGTAAATTTGAAGGAAATCCGATGAGCGGTTTTCCTGAAATGGCGATGACAAGATTTTTCGAAAAACCTTCAAAATGGCCACCAGAAAACAAGATGGCCGCCCAAAAGTTAATCAGCTCTAGTACTTGATATCCTCTATCATGTGTGTAAATTTGAAGGAAATCCGATGAGCGGATTTTCTGAAATGGCGATGACAAGATTTTTCGAAAAATCTTCAAAATGGCTGCCAGAAAACAAGATGGCTGCCCAAAAGTTAATCAGCTCTAGTACTTGATATCCTCTATCATTTGTGTAAATTTGAAGGAAATCCAATGAGCGGTTTTCCTGAAATGGCGATGACAGGATTTTTCGAAAAACCTTCAAAATGGCCGCCAGAAAACAAGATGGCCACCCAAAAGTTAATCAGCTCTAGAACTTGTTATGCTCTATCATCTCTGCGAATTTGGAGAAAATCTGATGAGCAGTTTTCCTTTAACGGGGATGACAAAAAGCGGGATGATCACGATCACGACCATGATCACGACCACGATCACGACCACGACCACGACCAGTATGACGACTATATCCCACCAATGGTGTGATAAAAAGTCCTTGAAAGAGTAAATTAACTTTTAATGATTTTTCAACATTCTTTCACTTTCAGAGAACTTGAAAATCCAGGATATTTGAATGAAGGTAAAAACTGAGCAAATATTAAAACTTGTTTTAATAGAAATTTACACACAGAATTCAAATATGCAATCCAATCAAATAGAAGAAAAAAAAAAAGATCTCTAATGTTTAAAAATGCAGGACTCCTGATACCTCATTAAAAACAAGACTCCCAACAAGATTTCAAAGCTATTAAGCAAACCCATATTGAAACTTTTCTCTTGGGAAGAGATCATATTCCACTAACAAAATAGCCTATAAACTTTGGAGCAAATCCTTTTTTAGATATCAAAGATTAAAGATGTTCTATATCCATCCCTGAGACATAAGGATATAAAATTTGAAACAAATTCATCAACAGATAATTGAGGTAAAAAGATGTTTACAAAAAATGGTGGCCATTTTGAGTTTAGTGACCATATTGGAAATTCCCTGGGGAAATTCCCTGAGCTGAGGCCTTATGCCAATTAGGCATCAGCCTGTTTTCAAATTTGAATCCAATTTGCTAACTGGTATTTGAGTTTTCCATGGACAGATGATAAAATGAATAAACATATGGACGAAAGAATCAATGGATGAATGGACATTTATATGACAGACAAACAGCTCCTCAATATCCCTCCTTCAATTTGTTTGGTGGAATAATAATTCTATTTAATTCACTTCTGAGAACTGAATATGACTCTAAAAACTTAGACAAATCACAGTTTTATTTTAAAGTGTATATGGCATAAAAATAAAATCACTTCCTTCTTCCTTGTGCATTATAATATACTGTACATACTGTAATGTAAGAAAGTACTAGCAATAGGAGTAGGAAAATGTACAAATAAAATGGACATCTATAAACAAGCATGACAAGTAAGTGAGAATGGTTTACAGACTAAGCTTGCAATGGTATATCAAAATTTGATAAACTGCAAATATTCTCAGAGGATCTCTTCATAGACTGTTTTTCTAATTTTTCAAACTGAATTAAAGTTTATTGATGGTGCCCATTTGATTTGAAATCAAATGACTTTTACTATGATTTCAGGAGATCATTGTACCGAGTTGGGAGGGGGTGCTTATAAGGAAAGGGGTTATAAAATCCGATTCAAAATTCTATTTAGTACGTTCAAATAAATAGTACCGTGGGTACTGGGCTCACATGGTGTTGCTAAAAAGTGAATGATGGCTAAAATGACAGAAAATAAAAAAAAAACAATATAATTTTTTTGCCAATTATTTGTAACTAAATTATTTCATACAACTACTCTTTACATGGCTTTTTTACAATGCAGGACCCTGAAATTATTTGTAAAGCTAGGAAATAGGCCAAAAGTGAATTTCGCGAGACAAGAATGGCGACCATTTTAAAATATGCAAGCTTTTGAACCAGGAGTCATAGGGGAGGTTTTGTATTGATGTTGAACAAAAGTAACTTAAAACTGGAATCCTATCAACAGAGGTTTTAAGCAAATGGTCCAAAAGGGGATTTCGAGAGACAGATGGACAAATCAATGTTAACTAAAATGGCCGAAAATAAAAAAATGGATATAATATTTTGCTGATTTTTTGTAACAAAATTATTTCATACAACTACTCTTTGAAGTTACATGGCTTTTTACAATTCAGGACACCTGAAATTATTTTTAAAGCTAGAAAATGGGCCAAAAGTGAATTTCGCGAGACAAAAATAGACGGACGGACAGACAGACGGACAAGTGAGTGATTGCAAAAGCTCACCATATGAGCTAAAAATAAGCAATCAAATGACCATATTGCAACAGTTTGTGAAAAAATAGAAACATATGTACAAGACCGTGTACACATTCAAAGTACTAATAGTCTATAATAAGAATTTTGAATCAGACTGTAGACAAATGTTAGTTGTGAACCACAAAGTTAATTACTTTCTATATACACAAAAGTAAGGCAAGTTTTTGGATGAACTATGACGATGGAATCAAATATGAGACCACTTGTACTAAATGTACATGCTATACCACCACAGCTACCCAGACAAGCATCAATAGCATTTAAAAACTTTTTCAAGCAATCATAAATCTAATTCTTGGACTTTAGCTGCCCAAATTAATATAACTTGACTACTCACTTTTGCCAGTTTGAAAGTCATTTAACACATCGAACAGAGGTGTTGTATGTAACACGAAAGGTACTTTGCGGAATGCTTTGGGGTGGTTCATGAGCTCCTTTACTGCGGTCCTATCATCAGGATCAAGCTTTATTAAAGTCTTCACGAGCAATATTCCTTGAATGTTACTGTGATCATTGCTGTATACTGGAATTCTTGAATGGCTAGATAACAGGATCTGAAGTTGAATATATGCAGACATTTTACATAAATTGTTTGAAACCAATCACCATTGAAAATTTACATTGAATGAAACATGTACCCCTATGTTGATAAGCAACATCTTGGAAAGATAAATGACAAAGTAATATATTTCAATCATAAAAGGTTAGTTTCATAATTTCATAAGAATCTGGCTGATTTTTGACGATAAGTTTCAAATGAATGTTAAAGAATATCTGAAATTGATGAAACTCTGGACCACAGTTTCAATCTTAAATTGTAAGTTATATATCTGTTCTTTCATATTCAATTCATCAAAATTTGGGTGAGTTTTTAAAATCAGTTTCAAAATTATTTTAAAATTATTTACAATGCTAATCTATGCAAAACATATGTACCTCTAAAATACATAGCTTACTCATCAAGAAAAGGTATGTCAATATTTTACTGGTTTAAAATTGGGCCCACAGAGCCCCCCCCCCTCTAACTATGCATACAAACAATGAACCTCAAACAATTATTGAACTTTGAATGCAAAAACAAACAACACTTTTAAAAACCACTTAAAATGTTTCCTTATAAAAAATATAGAATATGAAGACAACATAAATATTTACCAGCACAGTTAACTATATGACTTGTTTTCTAGTGAGCGACGTATCCAAAATGGGATTTCACATTAAAATGCATTGCATCATGTGTAAGAGAATGTGAGCATTCATATTATATGCCACCCACTCAATGTTTAAATGCTAAAGCCGGTATTGAATAATTGCCAAAAAATCTTTAAAAACAAATCAATAAATCATATACATCAGCAGATAAGAACATGTATGAAACTATAATTTTTTAGTATAGTGCTCCATAATGTACTTGAATGAAATGTAAGATGCCATGTTTTCACAAATGAACTAAAGTAGAATTGACATATAAAATATACCTTATATGAAATATTAGTTTTGGTATGTACATTTACTATGTTTACAGTATGCGTTGACCATTTGGTTATCCAGCACTTGTGAAATAAAGAAATGAGCCAAGATTTGCTTGACTTTTTTATCATGACAGTTATTGAAATAAATCAAAAAAACTATTTGTTGCATGCAAAGAAATATATATGTTATTTCATCATGCCCTCCTCTTTATATTAAGCTTCTTATTGTGAGCGTAATTATGCCAAAACTTTAAAAAAATATTCACTAACCTTAGTCATAGTTTCAAAATCCATGACATCTTGGTCACTTAGCATGAAGACGCTCTCTAAAGGCACCATGGCATCCTTCACTGTCTTGTACTTCATATCTAATGCACCCTGTAATAATATCCATATTTAATCCTCTATAGCAATAGCATGTAATGTAATCACCCTGTTGTGCATTTGTTTCTTGTCTAATGCCTAGAATACTGTTCAGTCATTCAATCATGTTGCTACGTATTTGCACCAATTGATGATGACTCATACTACTAGGCACACTGACCTGATCATGGGTAAGATTTCACAACTAAGCCTCGTTTTGGATGTTTGATAAGTGTGCAGTTCGAGGAATTCCATTTTACTGGCACAATGACCTGGTCCTTTACATACAACCATACATATATGTACTAGCTGTATAATTATTGATTATAATTACATTGAAGATCAATCAAATAAATTAAAAAACATCCCAGTTTACAGTTGTACATGTATTCTATATTGTTTTAGTTTAACCAGATACTGGACACCTCGAGTGTTTTATTTTTCTATTAACTCTGACCTCCTGTATGGTACTTCCATTTCAACATGTAAACAAGCTGTTTACATCATTTACTATAGTATAAGATAATACGCAAACTTAAGAAATATTCAAATTGTTTTATCATTGAATTAAAACATCAAAGCAGCAATCAAATAATGGGATAAAACTGATAAGAAGAAATGGTAAGTTTTATTACTATTTCCCGTGCTAGTAAGGTTTTAGATTTGTACGAAAAATTAACTTGTTTAATATCTACAAACTTCCGCCTCCATGGTTATTTCTCATTCTGACCACTTATGTTAGAAACAGCAGTGATAAAAAATAAATTTTTATCGTACTTTTGTCTCCTTTGGCATTCATGATCATTGTAAATGTGAATCAAAATGATCAAGTGATGGTGAAATGAGTTGGTGCAAAACTGTCATATTAAAGCTGTATCTTTAGAAATGCAAAAGAAATGATGGCCAACATATAATTAGAGAATACAATATATCTACTGTAGATCTCATAAAATGGTGTCAATTTTAACTGAACATCCATTCCGAATAGAAAAACAGCAACTCCATGGGGTAGCAAATCCGACCAATACAAAATTTATCAAAAAACAATAAATTACAAAAATTGCAAATTTACTTTGAGTGGGCACTTTTAATATACAAGTATATAGTTTACGTAAATCCCTCTTGAACAGAATCATTTTAAGCCTTGAAAAATTATTTTTCAAATATGAACAAAGTTGGGAAAGAAGCATTTCAGTTGTGTGAACGATTAAGTCATTTTTATAGAAAATGACAGTCATTTTGAACTGAACTAAAGCAGCGATATTTCAAAAAAGTATAAATTCTCCAAAAATAATATCAAAAGTGCATTTTGAGGAGCCCATTCTAGCAATTCTCTCTTGAACAGAGTTTCGTAACCTGACTTTTAAGTTGTACGAGTACATGTATCATTTTATGACCTAAGTTGGTAAATGAGACAGTCTACATAATCTAGTAATATAAACCAGCAAAATGCCAGTATACAGTATATTGAAAAATACTTCCAAAGCAGGGGTCCAATGGCCATAACACATCAGTCTCAACAAGGCACAGGACGTGAACGAGATCACACCATCAAATAGGCAGACACTATGAACCAGGAAAACTGTTCTCCTATTATGTTAACAAATTTCAAGAACAAGAAAACAAGATGGCCGCCCAAAAGTTAATCAGCTCTAGTACTTGATATCCTCTATCATTTGTGTAAATTTGAAGGAAATCCGATGAGCGCTTTTCCTGAAATGGCGATGACAAGATTTTTCGAAAAACCTTCAAAATGGCCACCAGAAAACAAGATGGCCACCCAAAAGTTAATCAGCTCTAGTACTAGATATCCTCTATCATAATTTGAAGGAAATCCGATGAGCGGATTTTCTGAAATGGCGATGACAAGATTTTTCGAAAAAATCTTCAAAAAGGTTGCCAGAAAACAAGATGGCCGCCCAAAAGTTAATCAGCTCTAGTACTTGATATCCTCTATCATTTGTGTATAAATTTGAAGGAAATCCGATGAGCGGTTTTCCTGAAATGGCGATGACAAGATTTTTCGAAAAATCTTCAAAATGGCTGCCAGAAAACAAGATGGCCGCCCAAAAGTTAATCAGCTCTAGTACTTGATATCCTTTATCATTTGTGTAAATTTGAAGGAAATCCGATGAGCGGTTTTCCTGAAATGGCGATGACAAGATTTTTCGAAAAACCTTCAAAATAGCCGCCAGAAAACAAGATGGCCACCCAAAAGTTAATCAGCTCTAGTAATTCATATGCTCTATCATCTCTGCGAATTTGGAGAAAATCTGATGAGCAGTTTTCCTTAAACGGCGATGACAAAAAGCGGGACGATCACGATCACAACCACGACCACGATCACGACCACGATCACGATCACGACCAGTATGACGACTATATCCCACCGATGGTGTGATAAAAATCTAAACTAACTTCAGCAACCATTACTAAGCTATTGCCTTTATTTATTTTTAAGCTAAAAATATGTATACCCTTCAAAACAGGTTCTCATCCAAGAACCTCGATAATGCTTTGGCTGCTCATTACCTCTAATTAATTGTAGTAAGATTTAAAAAATCATCCTTTTTTATCTCACCTTTATAATAAGAACCTCATCAATGCTCAATGCCTCTTGTCCATGCCCCTCACTCCCATCTCCTTCATCCCTCTGAGAAGGACCATGAATATCCACAAGTACCTTTAACTCAGCACGGCGGAAAAATGTTGCATGGTTCTTTCCAAGTAGACAATCCAACAGTTTTGCTATTGGGTACGATATTATAAATGTTAATCCCATAAGCAGGTAGACAAGTCTGAAATTAAATAAAATTCATTCTTAAAGAAGTCAATTTCTCAGTCGTAATGAAGTTTTTGCCATGCCTGTATTATAACCACCAGCCGAAATAGGTTTACTGAATTTGCTTGGACCTTGACCTTTCGAAATATGTTTATTTACAATATTGGATGTCATGTTAAACTATTTTGTGATTTCCATATCTACCTATATCTGATATTATCTTCACTAGGCCTACTGCATCAAGTGTTAAGTTTATGAACATTTAAATTCAGTTATAAAGTGATTAAACTGTATTAGACCTCCAATAATCACAATATCATTGCCAATATGTAAGCTATGTAGGTGATAGCGATTACAACCAGAACAACGGCAACGCCAAAGCGTAGCGAATCCCATCGAACATTTTTCAAAAACAAAATCGCTCCGCTACTTTTCGAGTTTTAGTAAAATAAGTTAAAATGGCCACCATTTTTCAAAATGTCCGCCATTTTTCAAAATGGCCGCCTTCTACCAAAAGTGTCATTAGACAGTGTGCCATGCTTATAGTATTCACATACCAAATATGAACAAAATCGCTCCACTACTTTTCGAGTTACAGCAAAAATCGTAAAATAACGAGTAAAGGCCACCATTTTTCAAGATGGCTGCCATGTGCTTTTTTAATATCTACATTTCTAGCTTTATTAATGTCCTATATAATTTTTTTTACATTTAAAACATATTGCTATTACAGTTTTACATATTGCATCTAAATTACTGTAAAATCGGCACTACAATGGCCGCCATTTTTAAATGAGCGGCCATTTTGAAAATCGGCTTTTGAGCAGAACTTCTACCCCCCATAGGGTATATGTGTACAAAATATGAATAAAATCGGGCCAACGGTATTTGAGTAATTGCCCGGACGGACGTACGTACAGATGTACGTACGTACGTACGGACGGACGGACGGACGGAGGGAGGGAGGCGTTCCCTATATCCCTCCGAACTTCGTTCGATGGGATAATGAACTGAAGTGCAAACTTACTTTTAATTCTGTTAGATGAAATAAAACTAATACACCATCTAGGCTATATAGACAGGGTTCTGTGTTCAAGGTATAAATGTAATAACTTTTTATACTCAATGCTCACATAATGATTGCTTTAAAGATAATTTCTTCACTTAATATTCATTGCATCGTAGAAGTTGGGGATATATATTTGCTAGAAATAAGTAAGATATTTCTAACTTACGGACTTAGATTAGCTCCGATTGCAAGGCCATACCTCGTGCATAATGCTTGCGGAAAAACTCTGAAATATAAAATGAGTGTCTGCATATACAAGTAACAAGTAAAAATAAGCCTGTCATAGAATAATGACATTTTGTACTTAAAAAATCCTATCTCTTGAAAGTGGTTAAACATTGACAAATACTACTTGGCGCTAATATTTATCAATAAAAACGGTTAAAATGGTTAAAATGTCACCATCATATAAACATCTATCTGATAAACAACAAAACCTGAATAGGTAAATGAAACTTACTCTCCAAATAGTAAAACAGCTGATACAGAGACAACAATGGCTGTAACGGGGTTGGAAATCTTGTCTAAAAACAATGGCATTGACTCTACTGCCGCTGCGTTGGCAAGAAGCAATGTCACCAGTAGCAGATGGTGGCGTTGTACTAATGGGAGAATTCTGGCGGCATACTTTCTTTCTTGAGGGGTACCACTTCCCATTAAGACCCGTATATTTGTTGGGTCCAAAGATAGCAGTCCCATTGTAAGACCAGACATCAGCCCTGAAAGTATACAGCAATCAGGAATTTTGGTTATAAAAACTATATATAATAAATAACCTAAATTCTTTACATTAAACATGGAACCATTGCAGTGTCAAAAAGTTCATACTCTTTGATAAAAATTCAAAGAGCTTTTTATATTGTGGCCTATTAATTTTTAAACAGCTCAACAACCCACATCCTACCTTCTTTTACCACAAAGTTTGCTTAAATCATTCATTCATTTGATCACTGGCATTCATGATTTGATTTGCAAATATATTCAAGATAGTTATACAAGATATAGTAAAAGGTCCCATGTAAAGAAAAAAAAAACATCTGGGTTATTTATAGTCTCACCTAACTACCAGCGCCAAGTGGTAGTAGGTAGTTGTAGTTCAACCACCAGGTGGCTAACTACAGTCAGTAATGTATTTGGACTTGTGATGCTTGGGTTAAATACTCTCTCAGGAAATCAAATAAATGAAACAAATAGAAAATATATTAACAGATTCTTGATGTTTATTTAGCTTTAGCAAGTCGAGAAGAGTTTTATTTCTCTTGCAAAATTAAATTTGCTCCGAGTGATGTCACATCAGGTTACCATAGTAACCAGGAAATGAACCAATCAAATTGTTAAAGCCTTATTAAAAAATTAACTCAATAACGTTTGGGGAACATCAGTTTCAAGATGATTGGTCCAGTAGTATTGGCAACACCTTTGACCCTTGATAGTAACCCTATATTTTGAAAAAGTCTAAAACAAATTTCATAATGATACTTTACCTTCATGGGTCCTTTATTTTTTCATATTGCTATTAAAAATTTCATTGGTTAGATGAGACAGGTGCTAATAATTTGAAAAAGTTTTGAAGAATAAAGATATACCTTATACACTGGATATTATTTGTGTTTGGGTAAGTAAAATTGCATAATTCCTCAGCCTAACATAATCTATTGGGACATTGGTCCTGTGTCAATACTACAACACTCAATTTTGACATAATATGAATATTAAATAGAAAATTTGAAATTTTGTATTTGTTAAATATAAATTAGAAGACATTCAAGTTGATATTCAACTCAGTTAAGATAATATTCAATGCGTATTGTGTACAAGTGTTATCAATTGTGTATACTCATTGGTAGGTTCCAATCCACAAACTATGAGTTTGAGCTTAATTTATTAGGTCAAAGTTTAAAATTTCCTGCATATTTTAACTATTTTAATATTGTTTTACTGTATTAATTTTTTGCAAAGTACTATTTTGATAACACAAAGATTACCAGAATTACTGAGAATAAAATAAAACTTTATTACAGAGAATATTTTGGGTTGTCAAATATCTTGAGATATTATCCTGAAATAAAACAACATATTAAATGAAAGTTAAAAATTAACTCATAGTCAATGTAATTGTAAGAATTTCAAAGGATTGTCTAGTGGGTGGGGGTAGGATGATCAATTCAATCATCAACCCCATGGCATGATCTCATTTGGAAAGTTGTTTTACACGCAATTTTTGAAATACAAGATCTTTTTACATCGAATAATATTTGGTAAGTAAAATTCATTTTGGATTTACAGTGTACCTGTTTGTCTTTAATTTGGCACTACTTAATTTGCTGTTTTTTGGGATATTAGACATTATTAGCATCTATTAAATTTGTGTTTTTTAATAGGAGGTTTATTTCATAGGATACAAGCAAATATACAATAAATAGGCAGGGTTGGGGCAAATCGCCTTTCGGCATTTCATGTCCCCATATAAAAAATTTACAATAGACAACATAGGTATGCAAGATTCAAATAGCTAAAAGAATCTGTCACTATAAATAAGGTATAAATCCAATGTATGATCATGTGTTAAATTCTTAATGAAATAATGAAGGTTATAACTGATTCCATACTTATTTTGAAATAAAATCAACCCAAGAATATGTTTTCAGGCAATTCCAAGAGTGTATCATTTCTTTGCCAAATTGTGTACTTTGCTTTTAATCATCATTTTTCTGAGGTTTAAGAATATATTCACATTTAATATTCTAGATATCAAGATTTATTCATGCCTGGAGGCACTCTAATCTCATATTCATTGGATGCCATCAAATGTGACCTGTTTTTTGTACCATGCTGTGTGTGTTTTTCACTTACTTGATGTATTGAGGTGGCCTATGTATTTGAATGGTTCTTTGCTTCCACAGGCCTAAGCCACTCTTATTTATGCTTCAATATAAACATTATTACCAAGGCTACAATCACACTACCCTACCACGTGACCACGTTTAAAAGGGAAACAGGGTACAGCTAAGTTGCAAATGGAGGACGTGGGTTTAATTCCATATTTCTGAACGTAAAATACATTTTACATTTATTTCTAGTGTTCTACAAGACATAGAATTGATTCATCAAGCAGTTTGTAGAATATTGTCGGCAAAAATCCACTATAGGCAAAGATAGATAATAGTGGGCTCATTGAAGCAAAACTCGAATGCAATACACGATACATTTCAGTAAATCTATCGACGTACAGGGAGCATGTAAGTTTCCCTTCGAAAATGTTACATTGAAATGTAACAAAAACCCAGTTAATTGTTATTTAAACTTTGTGTCATCGTGTATATGTGGATACGTTTTCCAGTATGTTATTTAACTGTTTTTTTGTGAATCAATTGTTTTTCTAAAATCTTAAAATGCATAAAAAGTCGTCCCAGAAATGTAAGGCAAAACATTGTGAAACATTTTTCCTCTTGTCCCAAAGAGGATAATGTTTGTTTCGAGGTGTCTTGTGATGAGCGTTTCGTGATTAGATGCAAAATCACTGGAGCAGATACCATCCAAAAACATCCGACATTCAACATGTCATATAAGACTACATCAATCTGGTATTAGTTTTTTTACAATAAAAGAGAAATACGACGTCATATCAGCGCTATAGCAAATCGTGAAGAATAAAATGCTCTCAAGTCGTGGCATGATAGTATTTTGAACAAAATATTTTATATGATAGTCTTCGACTATCATATAACTTGGAACATGGACTTCACTATTGCACCACTGAAGTTCAGCGAATAGCAATATTGACTCACTCCGAGCACCAAACGTATTAACCTTTTGACTAAGCAGTCGATATACTCAATAGCGACCTGGTTGAAAGCCAAAAAATTCGCGCATGCGCAATCGAGGTAGGGTAGTGTGACAATTAAGTGATGAAAATAGTGTGGCTTAGGCCTGCGGAAGCACCGTAAAGGTTTAGTTGAACAAAATTTATAGTACATAGTAAGGGCAGCCATTTTGGATATTGACTATACTAGCGCTGCAAATGTATAAAGTGGATTGAGAATATAACTATGCAATTGATAATAACTTAAGGGAAATTGGTTATCTGCCTAGAATGACAAGATAAGGCTGTCCCAAGGTTTTGCAGGAGCATTATCCCCAGCTCATTTGAAATTTTGAACTAGACAACAGCAACGCCAAACCATAGCAAATCCCATTGAACAGCCATGGCTGGAATATTTACAAACAAAGTATATAGCAAAAAAGGCAGCCATTTTTCAAAATGGACACATTCTACCAAAAGTGTCATTAGACATTGTGCCATGCTTGTGGTATTCACATACTACTTTTCGAGTTATAGTAAATAAATATGTTAAAATGGTGGCCATTTTTCAAAATGGCTGCCTTCTACCAAAAGTGTCATTAGACAGTGTGCCATGCTTATAGTATTCACATACCAAATATGAACAAAATTACTCCACTACTTTTCGAGTTATAGTAAAATATGTTAAAATGGCGGCCATTTTTCAAAATGGCCGTCTTCTACCAAAAGTGTCATTAGACAGTGTGCCATGCTTATAGTATTCACATACCAAATATGAACAAAATCGCTCTACTTCTTTTCGAGTTACAGTAAAATATGTTAAAATGGCGGCCATTTTTCGTGTTACAGCAAAAATAGTAAAATAACGAGTAAAGGCCGCCATTTTTCAAGATGGCTGCCATGTGCTTCTTTAACATCTACATTTCTAGCTTTAATAAAGCAGATATGAAATGGTATTTTTGACCTAAAGGAATCAATATAATTTTTTGATAAATGTATATGGACATGTTTTCTCATCAGTATTGTGAAAATTATTTCACTCTAATGATCGTTATAGCTGCTTAATAAGCAATATTGCAATAGGTTGTGACGTTATTGGCCCCCACGTGATCTCTCACTGGTCCCCACGTGGCCCATTTTGGTCCATTAAATCATGACGTCATAATATGAAGATGTTTTGTTATTTGTTTACACAACAATCATATGGTTGCCGTGACATTGTGATTACCAAGGAACCAATAAATTTAAATAAACTATATATTATGTATGACGTTACTAATCACGTGGGGGCCAATCTCATTTAATTGATCAGTTAATTTTATTACGTTATTTATAACCATTAACAGTTATCTAACATTTATTTCATAATGGCTATAGCAAGAACTGCAATGAAGAAAATGCATTTTTGTAGCTGCAAGTTGAGAAAACCTATTTCAGTTGTCCTTTAATGTCCTATATAATTTTTTTTACATTTAAAACATATTGCTTTTAGTTTTACATATTGCACCTAAATTACTGTAAAATCGGCACTAAAATGGCCACCATTTTTAAATGAGCGACCATTTTGAAAATCGGCTCTAAAGTCGATACTTGATGATATCCACATGCTAAGTTAATGGAACCAAATAAAATTATAAAAACGAAAAAATGAAAGCCTGACCTCCTTTTGAAAATCAAAGGTTAAGGTCAAAATTCTTTTCATTCTTTATCATATTTTCACATTTAAATTTTGTAAATGATGATTTTGCACACAAGAATCTTTTATTTTCAGATATGCACTGACTTGACCTTAACAATGTCACTATGACCTCAATAACACTTAGGATGCACCTGAACACTATGCTATACATTTGTAATTAACTCCTCACTAAACACCATATTTTATGTCATAATGGTTATGAATGAGCTGGGGGCATTATTATATACTGTACACCCGGTACGCCCGAAATTCGCGACGATTAATTTTCACGATTTTAATCTCAGGTATATTTGCAAGTCAAACGTTGTCTAATTGAAAAGTCAGATGTGAACTTCTGAGAACTTGTAGATAATTTTGAAAAAATTAGTACCGTGGGTACTGGGCTCACATGGTGTTGCTCAAAAGTGAAAATAAAAAAAACGAATATAATTTTTTCGGATTTTATGTGACAAAATTATTTCATACAACTACTCTTTACAAAGACATGGCTTTTTACAATGCAGGACACCTGAACTTATTTGTAAAGCTAGGAAATGGGCCAAAAGTGAATTTCCTGAGACAAAAATGGAGGCCATTTTGAAAATAGGCGAGATTTTGAAGCAGGAGTCACAGGTTTTTTTTCTTTATTGATGTTGAACAAAAATATTTTAAATCGGGAATCCTATCTACAGAGGATTTAAAAAGAGCCAAGTGTTGACAGAAAGAGGTTTTAAAACTTGCCACTATTTTGGACTGACTGAGAGACAGATGGACAAATCAATGTTAACTAAAATGACTAAAAATAAAAAAACGGATATAATATTTTGCCGATTTTTTGTAACAAAATTACTTCATACAACTACTCTTTACAGTGAAATGGCTTTTTACAATGCAGGACAGCTGAAATTATTTGTTAAGCTAGGAAATGGGCCAAAAGTGAATTTTGCGAGACAAGAATGGCGACCATTTTGAAAATAGGCGAGCTTTTGAACCAAGAGTCATAGGAGAGTTTTTTGTATTGATGTTGAACAAAATTAACTTAAAACAGGAATCCTATCGACAGAGGGTTTAAGGCAAATGGTCCAAAAGTGGATTTTGCGAGACAGATGGACAAATCAATGCTAACTAAAATGGCTGAAAATAAAAAAAATGGATATAATTTTTTGCTGATTTTTCATAACAAAATTATTTCATACATCTACTCTTTACATTGACATGGATTTTTACAATGTAGGACACTTGAAATTATTTGTGAACCTAGGAAATAGGTCAAAAGTGAATTTCGCGAGACAAAAATGGCGGCCATTTTGAAAATAGGTGAGCTTTTGAACCAGGAGCCATAGGGGAGTTTTCTGTATTGATGTTGAACAGAAATAACTTAAAACAGGAATCCTATCGACAGAGGTTTTAAAACTGCCACTGATGTTGACAGAAAAGTGGATTTTGCGAATCAGATGGACAAATCAATGTTAACTAAAATGGCTGAAAATAAAAAAATGGATATACTTTTTCGCTGATTTTTTGTAACAAAATTATTTCATATATCTACTCTTTACATTGACATGGACTTTTACAATGTAGGACACCTGAAATTATTCGTAAAGCTAGGAAATGGGTCAAAAGTGAATTTCGCAAGACAAAAATGACGGCCATTTTGAAAATAGGCGAGCTTTTGAACCAGGAGTCATAGGGGAGTTTTCTGTATTGATGATGAACAGAAATAACTTAAAACAGGAATCCTATCGACAGAGGTTTTAAAACGTGCCACTATTGTTGACGGACAGACAGACGGATGGACGGACGGACGGACGGACGGACAGACGGACGGACAGACAGACGGACAAGTGAGCGATTGCAAAAGCTCACCATGTGAGCTAAAAAGGTCATTTTGAAGCAAGTTGAAAAAAGACCAATATGACCTTTTTTTACCTTGAGAAGGCCGCTGAAGGTCAAATCTCAAATCTTAAGTCAGATTTGAACTTCTAATAGCTTGTAGATGATTTTGATAAAAAAATTGGTCAATTTGAAACAACTTGAAAAAAGACCTTTTTACCTTGAAAAGGTCACGGGGGTCAAATCTTAAATATAAAGTCAGATTTGAACTTCTGAAAACTTGTAGATTTTGAAAAAATTGAAATCAGTCTTAACAGTATTTGTTAAGTTGTTGGAAGTTGTGAGAAGTCAATTTGAGCCAAGTTGAAAAAAGACCTTTTGACCTTTTTTGACCTTGAGAAGGTCATTGAAGGTTAAATTTTAAGTCAGATTTGAATTTCTGATAACTTGTAAAAATGGTCAATGTGAAGCAACTTGAAAAAATACCTTTTTTGACCTTGAAAGGTCACTGAAGGTCAAATCTTCAATATAAAGTAGTCAGATTTGAACTTCTGAAAACTTGTAGAAGAAAAATTTGTAGAAAAATTGAAGTCAGTCAAAACAGTATTTGTTAAGTTAAATATTTGTTGTAACAATTTGTTACAGAAGTGTTTAAAAGTTTCTGGAGAGCAACAAGTACAATTTGGGGAAACCACATTGGTCCAATTATGGGCATTTAATTGTGAGTTCAATATTAGGTCGACCCTAGCTCTGTTTAGATATATTTCTTGTGTTCAAGGTAAGTTAAGGGAAATAGTTGAAACTGTGGCTGGAAAATATTCTACTTTTTATTTTTATTTTTAAAGAAGGTGAGGACTTAAGATCTGGCGAGACATTGTTCCATATTTGCATCATTTTGAAAATTGGTGATCTGTTTGGAAAATTCACATGTATTATTTAGAGTATCTCAATGTTCTGACAATTTTATTTTTGAATGGAGTAAATATATCAGCTATATCTTGGGGAACTAGCCCATTGCAAACTTTGAACATAGTAATTTTGAAATGAAAATTCAAAATCTTCAAGTGCTTATTCAGTAATTTCTGTTTATTTTTTCTCACTACAATAGTTAAACAGATATTGGTAAGTAAAAATAGTATTCCAACAGACTCTCAATTCATTCCGTTTGTTCATTAGTGGCAAAATAAGATTTCCCGGGAAAAAACATGACGTCACGAACAGAACCGGTTATGGATTTTAACGGCAATGCATTATGCAACTAAAGTGCCAAGTTAAAATTGTATATGTTATATTGTGTTCTGATTGGCCAGAAAGGAGTAACGCTTACAAAAATCATCTCATGGTTCAATGCCTTTTGATTACAAGATTTTAGACAGCTTGAGTTATGTAATACTATCAACTGAGCGTGTTTATTTTCTATATTGTGTTCTGACTGGCCAGAAAGTAATTCTGCATGACTAGCTATGTGAAAACACACCGCTTGGTCAGAAGCTCTAATTTAGGTATTATATTTTTTGTTTATCGGAGGAAAAAACATGGCTCATATGTAGTCATCTCTGAATCAATTCCTCACTTCATTGAATGCAGTTGCAATCAATTCAATAACACTTTATAAGCACGTTCAGAGATTATGAAGTCAAACAACATATTCAAAACACATTCTGTTCGTGATGTAATGATTTGCATTTGACATTGTGTTCCCGATTTTGACATCAAATTTCACATTTATAAAAATATTTACAAGAATGGTACCTGGTTTGACATGTTAGTGGTATTTACTTCATTTAGAATGTGTATAAACTGTATTTTGACCCCATGAGCATTGAACAGACACTATAAATACTTTGAAACTATTGGAACTTGGCCGAGCTCCTGATACAATCTAATTTGGTGGTTTTTCCTAACCCTATTTGAGGTCACAGCATTAGCCAACCTATTCTGCCAGGTGTTCCCGACATCTTCCCATCCAACCCAATTCAAGATACTCATTGACGGTGCTGTAAATTAACAATATCTTCAAATATTTTTGAATTTAAATTGCCCTAATCATCTTGGTATATTTCTTATAACCGGAAGTGCAACGAACAAAAAACTTGTCAAACTCCCTGGGATTTTGGAGAGTATTTAATTTGACGCTTTTTTAACCCTTGACAAATTAAAGACAGATACAGTATATAGTACAACCCTATTCCTAGTTGGATATTTTTCAAAATCATTGTTCAACAGAAATGTGATACCAATTTAATATAATCCTGACAAAAGTCAAAACCTTCACACAATGTCTGATTATAAAACTTTCATTCAGCATAAGTAAACAATTGGAACACGGTTGTTAAGAATATTTTCAATTCATCAATTGCTTTTATCAGATACATGTTATAGTTTATCGAGTTAGCTTTTTAGCTGCTACAGCACTAACATGACACACACAAGCATCTACTTTTAGTTTTAACAAATAGTCCAGCCACAATATTTGCTTTGTGGATAATCTATCCCCTGGTCCTTTAACCTCCACTACTTTGAATATGTCATCTGTTGTACTCCACACAACTAAATCGGGCACTCCAGAACAACTGTTACGATAGTCTCTGGCAAGACGCTCACATATCCCAGCAAGCTTTGGCCCACCTATACATTTCACAAGTCCTAATATGTGTGGTAGGTCATTGAAAAGTTCCCAGTTTACACCAGCGCAAAGCTCTCCTTGGTGAGCTTCCCAGCATTTGGTGATCATTTCCTGAAGTTGTTCAATTGAAGCTTCTTTGATAGTTTTGATTTGTGTGTCGAACTCTGATTTGCGTTGAGCATAAAAGCAATCAGAGTGGAAATCCAAAGGGCTTGTTTGATAAGGGTTGCGGAACACGTCAGGGAGGTCATCTTTGAATATGATATCCCAATTGAGGAGTCCAAATAGTGTACAGAATGTTGAACCTTCACCATGCAAACCTTGGTCATATCCTTGATCTTTGTAGTGTTCTATAGATAGGTCTTCCACGCTACATAGTGTCACTTCATCACAGTTAGAATCAGCCCCAGTATTTGGTCTTATGAATACAGTTTTAGAACCAGGGGCTGAATGCGGCAATAATCGCCCTGATATTGTCTCCTTAGGGGCATCAATGACATCGTCATGGTGAATTTCTAATAGATGACACTTCAGTTTCTTATGGCTTGGTGAGTTGCAGATTCGTTCTGCACGTTGGAATAATGCCAGTCGTCTACCTGTTCTGACATAGACATCATCGAGTCCGGATTTTATGACGTCTAGAGATTTTTGAGGTTGTTTAAGATGTTGCTCTAGGTTGAGTGCTAGACGGTCATACCAGCGGCCTCGATATCGCAAACAATACACTTCCTGTGATAAGAGTACTTCAAGTTGTTGAACGGCCATTTCATACTGGCGCAATTTCTGTAGTAACTCCACACCTTGTGTCATTAGGCGTGTGTATATAGATGTTGCTGTGAAACACCTGAGATATATCGGCAATGCCTTATCAGAGTCCAGCAGAGCTTGATCATTACTATATGCCTGATACACAACCCTTGTGTCTTCATATATCTCTTTAGCAGTGTCAAAGTCATTATTGCCCATAGCTTGAAGCATTTCATAATGTTGAGTCAATGCGATGGTGAACTTCAAAAACTGTTCTCGGTATTTAAATATAATAGCATCCCTTTGAATTTTATACTTAGGATAGACGATTTTTCCCATTTGTGACATCAGCATTTGAAACAGTTGTTGCTGGCCACCATTTGGATCATCATCATCGAAAGCAGTATCTGATAGGTTGAACAACATGAGAAAGCAGGTGAAGACTTCACGTGTGTTTGACACCAACTTGTAGCAGTCCTCTATATATGATTTTGCCCGTTTGAAAACCATTCCACTTGTACCAGATTTTGATGCACCAAACATTGCAGAAATACTTGGTTTCTTACAGTGGCTTAAAATGGCATTCAGCAACTGATGTTTCTGTTTGTTGGTTGTCGTTATATGTAAAGATTTGGCGAGACTTTTCAAATCTGGTGAACTAAGTAATTTCAAAACAGATTCAACATCATCTAACTTGTCATTTCCAATGAGAAATCCACTCTGGACAAGTTCATTCAAGTATCCTCTACAATCTCCAATTTCATCATAATTGATTTTGTCAACTGTAATCCATTTATACTTTCTCTGAAAAAGCCGTATATAAAGTTTTTGTGCACCATCAGAGAGTCTGTAAAAGTCAGCTACTGTTTCCTTCTCATCAGCATTGAAAAGGTTACTGTCCTCCTCATTTTCAAGCACTGTGTTGATGATGGTTTTAAAGTTTTCCCAGTAGTATGGATTTTTGTATTTAACTCTAGGATCTTCATTGCTTTCATTAATGTTCTCATTTACAGTTTCTGCTTCAAATTCCTTTTCGCTGGGTTCATCATTACTAGTTACTTCATTATAAAATGTAACTTGGGGTTTGCTTGTTTCAACATTATCACTGGCTTCTTCCTTTTCAACATGTGAATTATCATTGTTTTTTAAAGGCTCTGTTTCCTTAATTTTCTTTTGAGGCTTCTCATTTTTTGACTCTGCAGTTTCACTAGACTTCCTCTTCTTATTTCCAGGTGTCAAGGACTTGTTTTCCCTATCAGTATCATCATCTATACATGCTTTTTCTATATCATTATTAGTAGTACATTTGGATAGCTTCTCCCATTTAATTTTCTCCTCGGGAGGTTCGATATATCCATCATTGATGTGTCGCTGTCGTTGTGCAGCAAACATACCCAAAATGCTCTTAGACTTAGGCACATCCTTCTTTTTATGTTTGCTCATTTTCAATTAGTTTAATATAGTCCCACTAGCTGAACAGTTTGTTGTTGTAGTGTTTAGTATACAGATAATTATTAACTTCAAAGTTAATTATATGTGGTATAATGTTTAATCAATGATTGACATTGACGTCATATCCAAAATATGAAGCTCATGAAAAAACATCTTGTAATGTCTTTTTTCATTATCACACAGTACTTGTGAAATTTGATTGTCTGTTATTGCCTGCTTGTTAGATGTTTCTGGATAAGGGACTGACCATCTGATTCACCCTAAAATCACAGAAAATGACAAGTCCATTAATCTTAATTTTACTTAATCTTAATATTATATTTTACTAATTGATCAAAATTAATAATTAATTAAAGATATGTTGCTTTTAAAAACATTGTATATATTAAGAAATTACCTAAGTATCAAGTGCAATAAAATGTACAAATTAGCTAAAATGGGTTTGATCATTTTGAGAAATAGACTTGTCTTTTTCAGTCAAGGCCACATTATGACATTCTATTCTATCCTTGCACACAAAAAATATAGCACTTTTATCTGGAAAAATATAAATTCTGTATTTGTGCAAGAGTACAAGCATATTCCCCACAGTCTCTCCTTGTATCTGCCTCATGCTTCCTGCTTTTGATTGCATTTTTGTTGTCAATCAAACAGTCATGCCTCTCTCAGGCAAAAGCTTAGAAAGTAGAAGTGAATGTGAATGTCCTTATATATAGTTCAATATTGATGTGAAAGGTAAAACATTTACAATATTTATGACACTCTGACCTACTTGCAATTGAGAGACAAAATGATGTGAAATAACCTTTTTGGTAGTTTGAAATAATTAAGATGGTAAACAATTTACCTGAAAGTCAAGAAGTGCATGTGGATGTTTGATATTGACGTGAAAAGTAACTTTCAGAATAAAGGTACTAAGGGGTATAAATTGATTTGATTTGATTGGTCGATATTAGTGGTAAAAGGATATGCTTGGACATACTAGACAAACAATTAGTAGCCTTGTTTAAAAGAGGAAGAAAATTTTTGTAATGAATGGCAATTACAGAATTACAGTCCAATTAGACTTGAAGTTAAAAATTCTTCACTCCTTGAAGACTACCCCATGGAAAATCAATAGAATACTGACAATGGGCCTTTAAAAAGCTATGCGGGCTACTAGGGACATATCATAGGCATTTTCTATAGATCAAATGAAAGCTCTAGATATACTGAATAAAATGAAATAAAGCATTTGAAAATAAGACAAGGGGATCCAGTTATTGGCTTCTGAACATCTATGGTCAAGGGAAAATGGCTTTTCCATGTTAAATTCCCATTAGGATTTTCCAGATTTTTGTCATTTTTGACACTTTAATTGCTTCTAGAAATTGAAGTTTTTGTCCAATGGTGACCACTGACCTTTTTTTGGTAACCTTTTTTGATGCAGATTTAACAGTATATTATCACAGATGTGCATACTCCCAACTAAAAAATATTTTTAAGTAAGTTTTTTTAAATAAAATGGCGGCCATTTGAATTTTGACGTATTAATACAGAAATCTCATTTGTATAAATAACCCAAACTTTGGTCTTTCTTGTAGAGTAGAATGATAGCTTTAAAATAATATCTAACATAGATCACATTTGTAAATATAACTACATGTATGATTTTTCATTAATTATTGTCAAGTGTTGTGATTTTCATATATTTTTCTGAAAAGTGACCAGACTTTAAGGATTTAATAAAATAGTAATATTCTTTTTTGATTGGACTCCTTAAAGACAGGGTGTACTGTTTGTTAGGAATTTCGATGCAATCCTCAATAGAGTCACATGATGATACTTTTCAAACATGAAGAGTGTGAATAATACTTTATTCATAAAATGTATAAAAAATTACAAAATTCAGTGACAGTAGGTCACTGAAATTTCTCTCTGAACTTTTTGTTTTTTTTATACATTTTATAAAAAAATATTCTTCACACTCTTTTCTAGGTACATTGGTGCACTATTTGTGCAAAACTGAAAGATGTAGACAATGTGAGGAACGAGGACTTTGTATTTGAAAAATACTGCTTTTCGCGATTGTGGCAAAATCGCGAAAATTAATCTTCACGGAATTGTAAATTAAATCCCTGTGGATTTGTAAAATGTTTTATTACCTGGAACTCCATTGGCATTTCATGTTTTGTAAAACGTTTGTCCAGTGTCGTTCTGCAATGATTTCCATTAAATATATCAAATAAACCAAAAAATGAAGATGTAATAGAAGTAAAGGTGCAGCGTGCCATTGGCAAAGATCTAGAAGTAATTGTAAATCTAATCCAAATATGACATTAGGTAGATTACTTACTCTACATGAAGTTACTTTATTTACAGAGTTTGAGGATTCAGAGAATAATGAGATTTTAAATGATGGCATCCACAAAATTTAATAGCCGCAAAATTGTGTTTTCTCAGAATTCGTGAAATTAAAAACTTGCGAGCACAGTAATAATACTAATAATAATGCTAATAATACAGTAACATGTGACTCAATAACCTAGATGCGAGTAGAAACAATCTTGATTTACGTCATTAAAAATTCTCAATTCAGTCAAACTGATGTCATATTTGGAATCTACATGTAAAATTACACCTAGGAATGTGGTTTTGAAAAGAGTTAATCATCTTTGAAAAATTAATTTTCTTTAGAAATGTGACTTCTAGGTCGGGGAGATTCCCCATAGACCCCATGCTGTAAAACCACAAAAAGTGAAATATCTTTTCTTGTGTTGGGCAGATAATATTTTGCTTTACTGGACATATTTTAATTTGTATAACTATCACATACACAAGGGTAATATGAAAAGTGAACCACTAAAACTGATGCATATTCAAGTTTAAGGGAATTTTGTAATACCCTGCCATGTTATTTCCCCCGAATCAGCCACCTGGTGGCGAAACTGGTAACTACCTACTCGCATCTGAGTAATTGAGGATTGCATCAAAATTCCGAATATGCAATAACATAAAACACAAATAATCAGTTTTGCTGATTCATCATCATGTTAGAAATGGAGTCAGAAGGATATTGGAGGTAAATAATTATTTATAAATCTTAAATTTCAACAGCAAATTGGGAAAAATCTGGCAAGGATCTGAAACTGCATACCATAGAGTATTTATAATATTTATAAATGATGTACCACCATGGGCCATATGGAAGAAATTTTAGTTTACTCTTTTAATTTGAGGTCTAGATTCTATCAGCCATAATTTTTTAGATTTCTTATTTTTAGGTTGAACTGGTGATTAATCTATAAAGTAAATTTTAACAAACTGGTCTGTAGACTGAAACTACATATACATTTAGCTTAGATTTTGATCATCTAGTAAATCTAGTATAGCCTTTATAAACTAAATGTATACATTTTTTTAATTGCAAGAATGACAGTCATGGTGATGAAATATGTGTAACAAACTAGCCGATTTGTGGTAGTGTGAGGGCTAGGTTACTTTGGGATTTCCTGGTACACGTTAAATGTACTTGTGTTTTACAGCAATTACAACACGACAAACAATATAGATTTATTTCACATATATTATAACATTAATTATACACAAATAAATTCAAAATGTCCAAATAAACTTGTTGTTGTTAATTATATACGTCCACTCTCTGGTACAATAATAGTTCAAAGTAGAATTCTATTCAAAGTTCACAGTGGCCAAACTGAATCCCAATGATGACTGTAATGCTGGCCTAGGTGCAAGGGTTACTTGAGGTTCCTGGTTAGTAGTGTCCCTTTCAGTCCTCATACACACACGGATGCATATAATCGCGATCAAACAGGTCACTATGAATAAAACACTGACTAGGACCAAGGCGAAGAAAGGAACATCCAATTCCATGAATTAGATCTATGAAGGCTGGACACCACTTCTGTAAGCTCTATGCTGGGGATAGCTTCACCCTCTTGAAGTGCTGTCCAGTCCTGTAGATTCCCACGCAGCAAATCGACTACTTCTTCAGATAGCAGAAAACTTCTAAGTTTTGTAGATCCAAAATATCAGCTAAGTTTTGCAGTTAGCAAAAACGACTAAGTTTTGTAGTTCCAAAAATTCCTCTAATAAGCCAATAAATTCATCCAGGTTGTCACATCAATGGCTTATAATCATCGATGGCTACTTCATCAGGCTAAGAGAAGTCAATAGTCAATAGTCAATGGTCAGTCATCCCATGTAGCAGATCGACTATGTTCTTCAGATAGCAGAAAACTTCTAAGTTTTGTAGATCCAAAATATCAGCTAAGTTTTGCAGTTAGCAAAAACGACTAAGTTTTGTAGTTCCAAAAATTCCTCTAATAAGCCAATAAATTCATCCAGGTTGTCACATCGATGGCTTATAATCATCAATGGCTACTTCATCAGGCTAAGAGAAGTCAATAGTCAATAGTCAATGGTCAGTCATCCCATGTAGCAGATCGACTATGTTCTTCAGATAGCAGAAAACTTCTAAGTTTTGTAGATCCAAAAAATCAGCTAAGTTTTGCAGTTAGCAAAAACGACTAAGTTTTGTAGTTCCAAAAATTCCTCTAATAAGCCAATAAATTCATCCAGGTTGTCACATAAATGACTTATAATCATCAATGGCTACTTCATCAGGCTAAGAGAAGTCAATAGTCAATGGTCAGTCATCCCATGTAGCAGATCGACTATGTTCTTCAGATAGCAGAAAACTTCTAAGTTTTGTAGATCGAAAAAATCAGCTAAGTTTTGCAGTTAGCAAAAATGACTAAGTTTTGTAGTTCCAAAAATTCCTCTAATAAGCCAATAAATTCATCCAGGTTGTCACATCAATGGCTTATAATCATCAATGGCTACTTCATCAGGCTAAGAGAAGTCAATAGTCAATAGTCAATGGTCAGTCATCCCATGTAGCAGATCGACTATGTTCTTCAGATAGCAGAAAACTTCTAAGTTTTGTAGATCCAAAAAATCAGCTAAGTTTTGCAGTTAGCAAAAACGACTAAGTTTTGTAGTTCCAAAAATTCCTCTAATAAGCCAATAAATTCATCCAGGTTGTCACATCAATGGCTTATAATCATCAATGGCTACTTCATCAGGCTAAGAGAAGTCAATAGTCAATAGTCAATGGTCAGTCATCCCATGTAGCAGATCGACTATGTTCTTCAGATAGCAGAAAACTTCTAAGTTTTGTAGATCGAAAAAATCAGCTAAGTTTTGCAGTTAGCAAAAATGACTAAGTTTTGTAGTTCCAGAAAAC